GCTAGAGCTTCTTCCCCTCCTGTCATTTAAGGGCACCTAGCTTACAATCATTAGTGAAAGAGTGCCAATTGACCCAACTAGCGAATATGTTTAGAACCATTCAATCTTTTTCATTTCCGTGAATATCGCTCGAAAGTAGTCATTGAAAAGAGCAGTCATTTGTCGGCTTGATAGCACAAGCACGTTAAAGACTTCAAGATCTCAATGTCAATTCTACACAACTTGAATTGAAGTCGAGAAATGAGTTTTCAACAAGTTTCCCATGGTGAGATAGAAAAGTTTCAGATTTCAAGTTTCCTTATGAAGGGAAATCATCTTTATGGAAAAATGCCCATGGGTGGATGAAAAGTTTTAGATTTCAATGTGAACTCCTGATTGACAATTTCAATATTGAAATCTTTCAATAGGAAGTTGATCTGTCTACACACCTTGCTTTTACCGCTATATCGGCCAAAAATTCGGACATAGACAAAAAGTCGTGAACTCCAGAAAGGAAGGAAGTCAAGCAAAGAGACCAGAGAAAGGTACTGCTACTTGAAAGCTTAGGGCCAATAGCAAGACATGGGGATTCATGGATAGATGTGCTAGACTTATTTCTATTTCCTCACCATCATATTGATATTGTTTCTTCCAGTTACCATCAGATTGAATGAAAGGGATGACCAGCAAATAGCTAAACAGATTCTCAATCAGATGAGCGGACAGGGCAATCATGTACTACCATAAGAGTAGACCTCAAAGCGATTGCTTGAATAAACTTACTTGGAGTCTTCCTTCCCCTACTTTCTTCTTTCTCCGTTAACACCGCTTATCCCGATATTCCTCATCCCTTCCATAACTGACTCCACATGATTGATCTCGGTTGAAAACTGTTAAACTGTTAACCAACACATGTGTCCCTCATGTTCTCATCTCCTACCCTCTGCTGCCCTACTATGTAGTACCTTGACTCGCTGTTCGAAAAGTCTTTCTAATATGAAACGGGCTTAAACACTGAAAGCGGCCTAAAGAATTGAATCCTTCTTTTCTTATTCGTTTTCTTTCAATTTATAGACTTCTGAAAATCGATAGATTGATTTCATAGATCTGTTCTTTCTCAGTCAGTTAGTTGATCGAGAAAGCTCCGCCCAGTAGTGCTTGACTATATAATAGACAAGCCGGTCCCCGGTAGCCTAAGATCCTCTCTGACTTTTCATAAAGCGATCATCAGTAAATAAAAGAGATAGCACAGACCTATGAATGAGTTTAGTGGATAAAGAAAAAAAGAGGAATGGACTATTTTATACGCTACGATGGGTTCTTGTTCTTAGGAAGAACCATAGCATGTTACAACGAGCCACGCTAGTAGCACGCATTTGTTTTCACGATTAGTATTGGAATAGGTCAAATAATGAATGTAATTCTCGGTGATAACAGATTACAAATGTCTTAATTAATTGTTATGGAAATAGTAATCTGCCTTGAATGTTGTAGATGATGGTTGTAGCACCATCCTATCGTATGGGTCATAGTTGAAAGTCAAGGTAGTAGTTGGTTGTGTCAAAGGAATGCTTAAAGAGTGTAGGTTGACTACAGAGGCCGTAGTGAGATGTTGTAGGAGTTATGAGTCATGTAGGTTGTACTTAGTCACATATGTCATAGTCATGAGCTATGATGACTTCCATAGGCCGTAAAGGGTGGAGTCCGAAGCTGCATGAACTGTGGGCCAAGTAGGACGTAATTGGAAGTGGTGAGTCGTGATGACGTCCATAGGCTGTGGAGGCCGAAGTCAAGAGTTGCATGAGCTGTGAACAAAGTAGGTCGTAGTTGGTCAAGTAAGCCATAATGGCAAGCTATGATGACTTTCGTAGGTCGTAGAAACAGAGTCTGGAGCTGCATAGGTTGTGGGCCGCATAGGCGATAACTGAGACATAGTGGTGAGTTGTGATGAGATCCATAGGGTGCAAAGATCGAAATTGATAACTACACGAGTTGTTGACCACATAGGTCATATTGTTGAGCTGTGATGACGTCAATAGGTCGTAGTGGTAGGCAGCAAGGAGAGAGCTTAAGAAGCTCAAAGAAAGTCGCCATCTTTAGGTGCATTGTTAAACTGTCTTCGGGAAGCATCGTTGCATCATATAAGGTGTGAGGTTTTCGCAAGATACATCATTACTCTACAATGTACGATGTAGGGGTGTCAAAAATTAACCTGACAAACCAATGCGACTCGAACTCAACTCGAAAAATTTGGGTTAGAGTTGACCCACATATTTTTTAAGTCGGGATCATTATTCGGGTCGGGTTCGGGTTGAACCTGAAAACTCAAACATGACCCGAATAAGCACAAAAGTTTGATTCGGGTTTGGTTTAGCAGGTCAAGCTCGGGTGCAGGACTTAGTTTTTGACCTGTTTATTATTAGGGTCGGGTTCAGGGTTGACCCTATTCAGGTCAGACCAGAAACCGACCGTTGACCCGGATTGACGCCTCTAGTACGATGAGATTCCACAACTCACGTCGTGATTCAACAATGGGTTTCATTGCATCGAGTTAGATTCGACCGAAAATGATTAACAGGCAGTGGTCGATAGTGGTCGTCTGCTATAGGAGTTGGAGGTTTTTGCCAGATTTGCGGTAAAGCGATGTTGGACTTTAGCTCCTTCTCCATACTTTAATCATCTTCTGGCTTGCGGCCCCCTTGGTCTTTTTTAAAGGGGTAGGACTCTATTTGCAGAGTTTGAGAAAGACCTCACTGAATATAATGAATTAATTAAGAATACTCAATTAGACGAGTCAAAGAGATTTCCTCGATCAAATGTCATTTGAGGAACATTTAGATGTCTTAATGATGTCAGAATTTAGCTATATTGGGCTCGTTGGATTCGTCTTGCTGAGACGTTCGATTTGACTAAATGCTTATCAGATTTGAAATATATTTGACCTTCCAATTATACACTGAAACCTTTCAAAAATGATTTAATGGCTTGATCTAGACTTGATTTGACTCGGATTAGACCAACTATGAAACCATTGAATTCATCTTGTTGAGCTGATCAGTTTAACTACAAGTTTGATTAAATCAAAATTCTACTTGACTTTTAATTAAAATTTAAACGTTTCTTGCTAAAAAAAATATCTCGTGATTCATCTAGTGCCTCATGATTCATACCAGCTAATAAAAATTTGTTGATTGTGCACTAGTAAACATTCTGTCGATTTTGATGGATGGATTTTAGAGTTGGTCACATCAATTACAACCAAAATTTAATATGCTAAACAATAAATCAGCCAAAATTTTGATAAAATCAAATTTGCCAAATCAAAATTTAATTGGATTTAAATTGTTTGATCAACAAACCAAAATTTAATTGTTAGTTTAAAACCATTTGTACATGCATAAACAATTACACATCTTCTCAGTTTAACATTGATGCAATTTTATGAATCCCCCATTTAATTTTGAAAATTTGTTTCATTCCATTAAATTGAAAATAAAACTGAACCACTTTTTAAAAGTCAAATCCCAAATATATATTTTAAATCGAACGGAATCAATCAAACTTGAACAATCCATTTTGATTTTAAGTAATACACCCCCCCTAATTGTTATTAGCTTATTTTGATCACATGAAATTACGAAAGCTGATAAGAGCTATTTAAATGCATGCATCAATGACTCTTGCTTACAGAACTATTTCTCATTATATCAAATTAAACTCATTTCGATCACTAATGCTTTCCCAAGTTCAGCCCAATGAAACAATTTTGATTTTTTATTGTTGAGATCAAAACTCAATTAGAAAGTTAAGAAAGCTAAGCAAATAGCAAAACAACTGTTGTTCCAATCATAATTTGCGCAGTATAACTACTCTTAATTTAAGCGGAAGAGGAATGTTTCATCACATGCAGAAAATTTTCCATACGGAGTGTGCGTATTTTTACGTGCAGACTCAATAATATACCGTCATGTGTATTATATCAGGCCCACCTAAAAAAAATTAAAGTCGAGCTGCGGATGTTATTGAAGTGGAACCACAAAATTTATTTGGGAGGATTATTGAGAGGTTATTAAGGGGTTATTGGGACATTGACTCCAATAACGCCATAATAAGCCCTCAATAATCCCCCTCCCCAATAACCTCCACAATTTCACTCCAAAAATCCCGTAATAACTTCCACGATTCCATTTCAATAACTCCCTGCATTAAACCCCGCAATAACCCCTAATAACCCCACAATAACCTCCACAATTTCACGTCAATAACCTCCACATGATGACATATTACTGGAAGTCCGCACGCAGAGCTGTGTTCGGACTCCGTATGAAAAGTTTTCTCCCATAACACGAGACTTTCGGAGGCAGGTGGGTGTCTTTTCCCATGTGTTACTGAGTTTAAGACGTAATAAAATTTTTTTTATATAAAAAGATCTTCTAGTGTTAGATATGTAAATTCCCCTCTTCGATTGAAGAGTAACTCGCCACCAAAAATGAGTTTATCTGCTCTATTACTCAATCTCAAAACCTAATGATTTAAAACTCTCAATCAACCAACCTAAAAACCTAAAAACGAAGGAGAACATCAACAATGACATCCACTTACACTCCATAGGACCCGCACGCATCTAGTGGTGCAGCCTAAAATCCCTAACCCACTATCCCCACTTTCAAGGTTGGACATAAAATCAGAATCTTCAGAACCAGATAGAAAGAAAAAGACGATTTACATACAATACCACTTAATTTCTATGTATTTACATATCTATCGTCTAAACTTCAATATTTACATTCATACCCCCTTATCTATGCATGAAAAAGATGCATCACTTTTTAAAAGTTAAAATGGTTGTATTTTTGATGTGATAGGGATGATTTGGGTGGTACAAATGTCAAAAAACAAAAAATTGATGTTAGAAATGTAAATACATAGGAATTGGGTGGAACTTATGTAAATGGCCTAAAGGAAAAACAGCAAAGAAATAATTTATGTTACATCCAAGCTTCACTTATTAATGCAGCATAAGGATATTCAACATTCCATAATACTGTAATTCCTAGTCAAGCCCAGCTAAACTCAGCACTTAATACAATAGAGAGAAAAATAGAGTAATAAATACAAGCATAGTTCTGAATCATAACTAGCTATGCCATATTCACCCAAAATAAAGAGAGAAAGTAATTTTCAAGAACATGAGGGTGCTATTTCACAGAAAGCTATAGCAGCAGCCAAAGCAGAGTTGCTCGGGCATTCCAACTATCTTGCCACAGTGGATCAGGAAGGTTTTAATCAGATGCAACGGGGAAAGTGTACCTGGCCCACATAGCCTCCGGCCATCGCCCTTCTCACATTTGTCTCGAACAACCTCGGGTTGTCACGAAGAATGGCAGCAGCATCGTGGTTCAGAGGATCCTCATGGTTTGGTTGCTGCAAGCAGAACATGTCTTAAGATTTATCCATTGATGTGTTTTGAAACAAATTATTCAAGGAAGATTTACATACATAGCAGTCATTTCTTATGTATTTACTATCTCACGCGTAAACTCCAATTTTTTCATATATATATACCTATTGCATGAAAAAGCTGTATTTCACTTTTCAAAAGTTAAAACAATAGTATTTATAAAGTTAAAACAGTGGAATTTATGAAGTTAAAACAGTGGTATTTATGATGTGATACAAATGATTTGGGTGCTATAAATGTAAAAAAGTGAAGTTTATGTTTTAGATAAGTAAATAAATAGAATTGGGTGGTATGTGTGTGGGTGTAAATGCCCCATAATTCACTAGAGAATTTGTATTAACAACCCCATTAAAGATATTGTGAAGTCATTTTCGGCTGCTACCTGTTTCGGTTTTAGATGATCGATACATACTATAGTTTAGTTCAGGGATTAGCTACTCCCAGAAATGCTGACTCAGAGTATGTATGTATGTATGCACGTCTCTAATGGTGTGTGTATTTTAGATATGTAAATAAATAGGAATTGGGTGGTATGTGTGTGTGTGTGTGCGTGTGTGTTTTAGATATGTAAATAAATAGTTATTGCGTGGTATGATTCAATAGAGAATTTGTATTAACATGCACATTCAAGAGATTGTGAAGTCATTTTCTGCTGCTAACTGTTTCGGTTTTGGATGATCGATACATACTATAGTTAAGTTAAGAGATTATCTAATCCCAGAAAGGCTGACTCAGAGTATGCATGTGTATGTGTATGTGTGTGTGATGTGGAAATTTATTATTATATCTTATATATGTATGCATGCTTATATATATATATATATATATAAATAAGTTAAAAAAATATGTAAATATAACAAATAATAATAATAATAATAATAATAAATATAAAAGAAGCAAACATGAACGAGACAGGGGACACATCGCCCCCTAAAGTATTCCACGGTCGCACATAACAATCACATGTTTGGGACTTCAGGGGAATAGTGGACTGAATTAAAATAAATTAAGATAAATAGGTACACTTCCTTTAAATAAGTTGTCCCTCCATATTGGTATGCTATATATATGTGCGATTTGTTATCTTTTGATTTCATTCATTATCTCAACATCTAGGAATAAGTTATAAATCAATATTAATGCCCATTAATGTTAATGTTAGCATTTTCATATTTGTATTGATTACTTCACATTGGTCATTTGCAAAGTTACAAAAAGATACTCGCATGAAATTAATTGTTATTTATGGCATTCATAAGCACAATTTTAGTGATGATATAAGATATATGAAATTCAAACCAATGATATGTTTGAATCCAAACAGGTTTACAATGAGAGCATCTAAGAAATTAACTGTAAGAAAGGAAACATCATATGAAATGATACAAGCCATTGGAAAAGTACTCGCAAATTGAAAATTCTAGGATATTCTGGTGGGTACTATCCCAATCTTTAATTAATTTTATTTCACTTTATTCATGAATCTGCTACCCATATTTTGGATTCTTCTCTCTTTTCATCCTCGTTGCTAATTCACATCAGATATCTTATCAAACAGATCTACTAAAGGTATTTTAAATAGATGAGATTGTCCACTTCTCATGGTAGATGTTAGATTTTTTTATATATCGCCACAACAAATCTATTTGTAAATAATCAAGACAAATTTGCACGATTCACAATTGTTATACCCACTTAACTGTATTATTGAAAGCTGAGCAGATCTGAAAGAATTGAAAGTTCATACTCGTCAAAAGCACATGATGTGAACATTGACTTTGGCACCAAGTTTTGATATTGTATTTTTTTATTTTTGTAATCTAACATATCCATGATATTGACATTTCATATGATGTTTCCAATGCCTTGTATGAACTACCTGCTCGAGAAAAAAAAATCATCTACCACTTCCGGTAGTTCTTGAGAAGAAGAAGAGAGTATTCACTGCTCCCCATGCCTGAGAGTTGGGCATTGGCTGAAAAGCATTACTCGTGAGAAGAAAAGTCTGGTTGATGATCTCTTTAATCCACACAAATTGTGCTTTAATGATGAAAGACCATTAAAATGGCCACAATTACTGTGTTTAAAGGTAACTACTACCATTAAAAAAAATAAAAACTTATATACATACCACACAATTCATATGTATTTACATATCTAACACCTAAAGTTTGATATGTATACTTATAACACCTTGGTTTTATAAACCTATACATGAGAGGTTGTACTTCACTTTTAAAAAGGTTGTGATGATGGCATTTTTGATGTGATGTTAAAGATTTGACTGGTATGAATGTAAATATGAATGTTTAGGTGGTTTTGAGATAGATTTAATATAGAAGAATTAAAAATAGAAAAAGAGGAATAAATGGGAACCTGACAAAAGTGGCAAACACTGTACAAAATAAAATTGAACACTCCATATGCACCAAACAAAAATAACTGCAGGATGATAATTTATGAAGGGCAGTTTAACTGCTTAAAGTTCAAAAATATTTACTGAGAAGATAGAAAGAAATGTCGGATTCATACCATCCCGCAGAAATGTTAAGACATTAAGATTGATTTCAACTCCACAAGTTCCCTCAAAAGAATGGTTCATTTTTGCTGAGAAATTTCATAAAAAATCATTTATAAATTAAGTTTTTATCTATAAGCAACCAAAGAACCCTCGAATGGGATAAGACTAGTTATGATGAAGTTAATTTTAGAAGGTAATTGAACCAGCTTTCTAAACTAAATCAATCATAAAGATGTGTAAATTCACGAAATACTACATAAATAAACATCACCATTCCAGCTATAATTAGAAACAGAACAAATCCTCGTTGCAATTTATCAATAGATTTGTAAACTCAAAAGAAAAACTGCAAACAAAATATCCACAACAATACAAATTAAATACATTTAAACTCCAAAATAGTTCACCAATTATTCAGATATAGCTAATATAGACCTAGAATATCACATTTCACAAATTTATTCACTTTAGCTATACAAAATTGATCCAAAATGGTCCATCAAAAACTAATATCAATTTTGTATAGCAGAGAGACTAAATTAAGCTCAATTTTGCATAATCGAGACACTAAGTTGAAATAGTATAAGACTCTGTCATTAGCAAAGCTTGTTTATTTATGTAAAGTGGTATAAGATTTTAGAAATATTCATAGTGGCTACGGTTTTGAAGTGATTAATGAAGAAAGTAGAACCATGTTAGATTTTGTTGTAGCATATGATTTTGTTATTACTAATATTTTATTAAAAAAAAAGATAAATATATTATTACTTATAAAAATGGATCTAGTAAAACACAAATCAATTATTTTCTTATGAAAAAAAGAGATCGCCGAGAATGTAAAATTTTGTAAGATCATTCCAAGTAAAAACTTAAGTACTCAACATAAATTATTAGTTCTGAATTTTAAGATGAAGAGTTGTAGGATAAAGAATGCAATGAAATATTATTATAAAATTAGATAGAGACATCTAAAAGACACACATAAATTTAACTTTATGAGTAAATTTCAAGATTTGGGATTATATTGATGAACCTAAATCTATGTGGAATAAAGTAACAAGCACTATTAAACAAATAACAAAAGAGGTACTTCGAGAATCAAAATGAAAAGTTTTTATAAATAAAAATACTTAGTGGTGGAATAATCATGTGCAAGAAAAGATAAAATATAAAAACTTGTGTTATAAAAATTGATTTGAATGTAAAAGAACTAAAAAAAATAAAAGGTGACTCGTAATGAGTCTAATAGAACAATTTTTGACGCTAAAAGTTCTTCTTTTATTGATCTTTATAATGGATTATATGCTAAAAAGAGTGAAAAATATATGTATAAACTAGCCAAACAAAGAGGAAAAAAATAAAGATTTAATTCAAGCAAAGTGTAATAATGATGAAAATAAAAAAGTGTTTTTTTTAGAGAAACATAATCAACAAAGGTGGATGAGCTATTTTAATAAACTTTTTAATTAAATTTTTAAAAATACGATCAACCTTAGTGATCTTAATATCGTGAATATTAATAAAATGTTTTATTTTTACCATTGCATTAATAAAAAAGAAGTTATTGAGGTCTTAAAGAAATCTAAGGGTGAAAAACCAATAAGACCTGATGATATCCCAATTGAAGTGTAGAAATATTTTGGAGACTTGGGACTTTTTTGGCTTACTAAACTTTTTAATATTATTTTAAAAACTAAAAAGATGCCCAAGAAGTGGAGGAAGATTATTTTGGTCCCTACTTTTAATAATAAAGAGAATGCACAAAAGTGTGTAAATTATAGAGGAATTAAGTTGATGTGTCCGACTTTAAAATTATGGGAGAGACTAATTGAATATAGGTTAAGACATGATATAAAGATTTCTCATAATTAGTTTGGATTTATGTCGGGCAGGTATATTATGACAGCTATACATTTATTGAGAGATTTGACGGAGAAGTACAAAGAGATTAAGGAAGATCTATATTTGATTTTTATTGATTTAGAAAAAATATACGAAAAGGTTCTAAGAGAAGAAATGTATTTGACTAATATTCGAAATGTATTTGACTAATATTCAAGTCATTAAAAATATGTAAACTAGAGGTGTTACTTGTGTTTAAACAGGAGGATTGACCAAGTATTTTCATATTTCAATTGGATTACATCGCTTTAAACCCATATCCTTTTGCTTTAGTTATGGACGCCCTTATTGGACATTTATAGGAATATGTACCTTGGTGTACGCTTTTCATTGATGATATACTTCACATGGATAAGACTGGTGAGGAAAGAGTTGACAGAGTTGTAACTACGGGTGATAAAATTATTAAAAGATGTGAACGTTTTAGATATTTCGGGTCTATTGTTCAAAGTGATGGTGATATAGATGGCAATGTTATTAGTAGAATTCAAGTTTGATTGGTTGAAGTAGAGGAATGGATCGGGCCCATTATGTGATAGAAAAGTATCGCTTAAACTTAACGCTTAAATCGCTTAAACTTAAAGGAAAATTTTATAAGATAGTGGTGAGACTTGCAATGTTCTATGGCCTAGAATGTTGGCCTTTAAAAGAGAAGCATAAAAAAAGTTAAGTGTTGCTAAGAAGAGAATGCTTATATGGATGAGTGGCTTGACACTTAGGAATAAAATACGAAATGAATATATCTGTGAAAGAGTTAGTCTAGCTCCAATGGCAGACATGATTAGAAAGTGTCATCTTAGATGGTTTGGTGACATCACACGTCGACCATCTAATGATCCAATTAGGATAGTAGATGTTTTACATTCGACTTATGTTAAGAAAGGCAAAGGTAGACCTAAAAAGAATTGGGCATATTATATAAAAATGGTCTTAATCTATTAGAATTAAATAAAAATATGACACTCAATAGGACACAATAGGGAAAAATGATTCATGTAGCTGACCCCACTTAGTGGGATAAAGGCTTGTTGTTTTCGTTTTTGTTGTTGTTGTTGTATAACTTCGTTTCATTGCTTCATATTTAGACATGTTAGATGCAAAGCAGAGATGTGGAGCTATTTCAGATTGAACAAAGTCGATGACAACACCCAACAAATTCTTCAATGTTGAATACATATTCTAGAGCAAAACTAATCAGAAAAGAGATCCCATCCTTTCAATGACCAATTCTGGTTTGGGGGAACCCTAAACATATGAATTTGACAAAACGCCACACCCAATAGAGGTTTTTCCGTGCAATATCAGGCATGAACATTGCATGTAAGTACAGAAATAAAAGCTCGATCGCATTAACAAAATAAAAAATTCATTGAGCCGATGATGACAGAAACGAACAATAAAAAATTAACTATACTAGGTTACACAAAAATACCGTAAAAAGATGATTAAGTCCATAAATAATTGTATTTATATTAAGGACAGGCTTCCAGTCCTCCCGTAAAATGTTTAGGCAAACATTTCCCTCCAAATCAATGTTAGGGTGGTAAACCTGCATTTCATATGAATTATACGGAAAACATCAGGCCATACATTGAAAAAAAAAGAATGCAAGTGGGCGGAAAACTAAAAAAAAAAATAGATGTTCTACCTTTGTCTTGCACTTGACTTTTGGCGGTTCATGAGGGTATGACGAAGGAACTAGAAAAGTGAACAAAAATTTACCTCCCCTGGAAAAAGTATTCAAGTTTTGAGTTTCTAAGTTCAAATTGATTAAGTTCAAAAAAAATTGCATCATAGAAAAGAAGTGAACACATGGGATAATCTCATCTGAATCAGGTTTATCAGCATTTATCAGACAGTAATACAGCACACATGCAGTATAAATACAAATATGAATAACAGCACAATGCACATTTATTTAATTTGTTTCAAATAAAGCATTATGGCTTACAAATAATATCCTTCATCAGGTCGAATGTTTATCTCAAAGTTCATCAAATCGTCCTTCCCATTGGGAAAAGATATGGTAGTCGTTTTTGGCAGGTTCAGCTCACTTATATCTGCAAAATATTAATTAAAATTAAAAAAAATATCTGCAAAATATTAATGAATGGATAACAAATAAAAGCTTTGGGCATTGCAATATACCAAGAACTATGCATACAACTCAAATTGAAATTTAAAGATAAAATGGGGAAAAAATAAAAAAAAAACAATGTAGTCATATTGATGATGAAAACTTGCCTAAGAAGTTATGATTAATACTTGATGGTCAAAAATTAAAGCTCGCCCTTTTGCTTGTGAGACTCCTCAATAAATAAATAAGAGGATTCAATGGTTAGTTTCTCTTGAGGCAGATTAGGTTTGTTAAACCAGATTTACCGTCATTTATCGATCAGGGTCTATTTAGATCAAGGGTTGATACTTTCTATGACCGTAAACTTATTAATTATTGTGTGGCTAACTAGTAATTTGATTAGGGCTGTCAAAAAAGCTCGTTGTTTGCGAACAACCCGTGCTCGGCTCGTTAAGTAGCTCGTGTGCGGCTCGTTCGTTAAGTAAACGAGTCGAACACGAAAAAGTTTTTAAAGCTCGAATTATAAACGAGCCAAACACGAACAACTATTTGTTCACTCGTGTTCGGCTCGTTTTAGCTCGAAATAAAAAAAAAAATTATATAATAATATTTCACATATATTATTTATATAATAATATATTATATATATTTATATCTAAATTTAAATCATAACAACTCGTGTGGTAATGTTGTTATGTTCCTTCTTTTTCATACATTTGGTCCAGGTTCGAATCCAACACTTTATATCTATTTTTTTCAATTTAATTTTAACGAGTCAATTTCGAGCCGAACAAGAGCTGAACACGAACACACTGTTCACGAGCCGATTTAGAACACAAACAGTTTCGAACGAGCCGAACATGAGTCAAGCCTGAGCTTGCTCAAGCTCGGCTTGTTTACAACCCTAGATTTGATGATAAAAAAGCCTAGTATATCATCTAGTTATTTTAAAAGCTCGCTTCTATTAAAAAACGATAGTATGATATCATCTAGTTATTTTAGTAACACGCTTCTACATGTGATACATGTATTAGTCAAATCATAGAGATGAAAACCTATTTCATTAGACTTGCATAGAGGCTTTAATGCTTGCTGGTGAGCGATAGATGATAAAGCTAGACATTTTCAAGAGGCTAAAAGAGTCCAAGAAATAGATTAATGTGTGCTTAGGTATTTCAACAGATGATTAAGTAATATTTACCATAAAAAACCTAAAGAATAGAGAAAACATAACTCAAATTGATTTAAATTGAATTTTAACTTATTATAGATTTATGTATGATTTTTGCTAGTTTGTTTGGTTCTAGTTTCTATTTATTTCATTTATGAGTATTTCTTATTTGAAAAAATTATAATAAATAATAAAGTGCAAAAAATTATTTAGTCATGATATTAGTTGTTAATATTATTATAAAGTCAAGTCAAGCTTAATTTTCATAATCATATCATTAATTTGTTCTTTACATACTAATCACAAATACTTATATTAGTTGAGAATAGTTAGCTTATATCTCCTAAATTTTAAAATACTTCTTGACATTATTGCTTCAAATAGCTAACTACCTTTTTAGTGCTTGTTTAACATATTGAAGCAATTCATATAATTATGTCAGAATTGGTGTTAATGATAAATTATATAATAATTAATGAATTCAGTAGGTAATTAAATTTTAATGAAGAAATTATATTATAATTAATGAACTTCATAAGATACTGAAAAATTCATGTCATTATGTAATAATTAGTGTAAACAAAGAAACTGCATTACAGGTAATGTTTTATATATTATGAATGTTTAGACAGTCATTTTATTTCTGCTTGAAATTTTATAAAAAAACATTTCAAAATTTTTGGAGTTAACTTACCTTATTTAAAAAACTCATGTAATCATGTCTGCTTCACAGCAAGTAAAAAGTTATTGAAGGCCTTACTCCTTCATAGTCATCATTTAGAGTTGAACCAAGTCGCTAATACATAATACCTCAATTTACTATGAACATATGAATTCCATTTCAATCTATTTTGAACCATCTGGTATTAAGCTTACATCCCCATGCATTGATTGACTCTGTTGCACATAATTCTAACCAGACTCGTTAATCGGATTCAACTTGTCTGCTTCAGCATAAAAAAAAACCCATTGCTCAGATGCACAAAATACTAGCACCATCCCCTCACCAGGCAAAAAATTATTGGGACGCTCACTAGACATGCGTTGACCGTAGTTGGTCCTACTAATGTTGTTTACAGCTATACTCAAATTTTGATTTATTAGAACTATCAATGTAGTACAATAATTAAATTTCATTGAATGACCTTTTCATGCTTTAAAATCTAAAATATGCCGAAATGAATTTCAAATGACGGGTCTAGTATGGCCTGATTCTTACTTGTTTTAACAAATAAAGCCAAAAATTCCTCATTGATCCTGTTATCCATTTCAAATGGAGTGCAACCATCCATTAAATCTCAGAGCACTTACAAATAGGAGCTATATTGATTGCTTAAAGTATGAAAACATGTTTTAAGAGGTCGAATTAGCTAGAATTCATCATTTCATTGGCAAATATTGTCAGAAATCAACAAGGTTAAGTCTGTGATCACCTTAAAAAGCCTCAAGAGTGATAAGTCCAGTTTCACACAAAAAGAGAGCAAAAAATGAATCATTATTTAAAAAAAAAAGGTTTTTATTTATAAGCGACTAAATGAGCCTTAAGATAGACAATAGCTAGTAGTGCAACTTTCTCAAAGCTAAGTGATGGAACGTTTCTGTACATCTACATATGCACACTCATGGCACAAAATTACACCACCACATATTTCTAACTACAAAGATAATGCATTCAAAATATAACTTTGTTAAAAGCTAATAATATGTGGGGATAAAAGTAAACTACCAAAGTAGTTGCCTGATTCTTTACATGGAGTCATTTTAGTCCCCGAGTCTATAAAAATGTCAACTTAGTCCCCAAGACACTTTTAATATGTGTTGAAATAGTCTTCAGGAAAGACTATTTTAGCCCTCATTAAAAAGTTTGGGGACAAAATTGACAGTTTTATAGAAATTGGGGTTCAATTGGAACCCTACAAAGAGTCAGGGGACACACTTAAATATGCAACTACAACTCATTAATATACTTGAAACCTCCAAAAACAAGCAGTTGTAGTTTACTTTCCTTATTTCAAGAGAAAAATAAAGCACAAAGTCTGAAAGCTCAAATGGAAGTCATACAACAAAATAGAAAACACGTTTACATGACGTAACCACTGAAGAGATACAAAATGAGAAGCAAATTGCATATTTATAAATTCTACGCAATATTAAGTGTGCAACAAGAAATAAAAAAAAATCAATCACAAAGCAAAACAGGTTAAAATACATCATGCAGCTGTTTTAAGAAACACAGAGAAATGAAAACCAATTGTAATACATTTGCAAATAAAACACCTTTATGGAGGCGCAACTCTCCTGCACTTTGCTTCTTTACAGGATGTCTTCCATTAGCACTTTCTGCATCTTGATTTTTCTTGTCCTTTATTTTAAATAGATTTATCATGTTCTACAAAAACATAACAGAGAAACTTCAACCACTCCAACAGCATGAAAAGAAACACAAAAAAGTTATGAATAATATTATGAATATGATAAGATCATGAACAATATGAAGTAGACCATCATAGCTTCAAGCTGGCTAAGAAGATATAGATCATAATATGGAATGTTCAAATAGCTTAAGAACAACTCAAAATACAATAATTGTAAACTAGGCCTTTCCAGGAAAAAAAGGATCTATAATTTTGTTAATCTAAGAAATACAACAAAATCCTCAAACCCTGCAAAAAACCAATCCCCATTCATCATTATAATAATAATCAGCCTTAACCGAATTATTGTCAAGCAGGTTTATGAATCCAGCTTCTACATTTATTGATATGGATTTCTATGAGTTGGTGCTTGTAGTCTAAGCAAACTTTAGCATGTTACATTTGATATGCTTCATTTCCTTTTTATTTGTTTCATAATACATAAAAATTATATCAACTAAAACTGAAAATAAAAGTGAAGTCAAACAGACTCTTAAATTTATAGGTAAACTTGGGCATATTGTATAAAAAAAGATCTTAATCTATTAGAACTAAATAAAAATATGACACTCAATAAAACGCATTGGAGAAAAAAAATTCATGTAGCCGATCCCATTTAGTGTGATAAAGGCTTTTTGTTGTTGTTATTGTTGTATTATAATGGTGTCTGACACATATCCATGTCGAATATTTTTAGTAATAGACGTGTCTCATGTCCGTGTGGTATCGTGCCCATGTCCATATCCTTGCAACATTGGACGAGATTTGATTTATGCCTTCATAATAGTGGAACTAATTAGTGTGGTGCCAAAAGTTAAGACTTTGCCAATTAATTTTGATTAAGCACTAGTGGTTTGAAAAACAATTATCTCAACGATGTACTTAATAAACTGCCACCACTAAGATACACAAAACATGTTCATGATTTAGTCATATATCATCATTGCTTGATTTCTCTCATTATAGAAAGAATCTAATAGAGCATACAAACTTAATAGAATTACTTACGAAAGAATTTGTTATAGAAAGCACAAGTCTTTGTATCGTACATACTTTGTTTACACATAAGATGAGACCAGATAAGTAGGATTTAGGGTAAAGTCATCAATAAAATAAGGATTAAATATATTTTTAACATATTTGAATGATATGCTAAATATTATGAATGGTATTGAAATATTTTCTAAGATTGATTTGATTAAGAGTTATGTTAGAAGTTATATTAGAAAATAATTTATTCTTGTTAGAAATTATGAGGATTAGATTTATTTCTTTTCCTATTTTATGTTATTTCCTTTATCTCCAAGTAATTATTATGCATTGATTACTTTGAGAAATAGGTGTTATATTTTTCCTTCCATGCTATTTTCTTTTTCTCATCTTTTTTATTCTAGGATTCATGTAAAGGTATTTATGTCCCATTTCCATATTAATAATATAATTTCGCTCAATTCTCAAAACCTACATGATATCAGAGCTTTGAAACAAATCCTAGAGTTTTCTACCGCGGAAACTTCCTATTTCCTGCATCCAACAATCTTTTCCGTGTTGCAGACCCTTTATTTGCCTTCTTTTTTTAGTTTTTCTGCCAGAAATTTCCTCTCCTTGTAGGCCGCTGCTAGAATTTTCTCCTGCACACTTTCTCGTTGCCTGAATTACCTTCTACAGCCATTCACACCGCTAGAACTTCCTCCTGCAGCCTTTCACGCCGCCGGAACTTTTCCTCTTGCCGCCTTAGCCACCGCCGGCTCTTTCCCCTGCAGCATTTTCAGTTGTTGGTCTCCCTCCTGTCGGCTAGCTATTCTTCCTGCAGGGTCCCTTCTCTCATGAGATCCACCTCCAGTGAGAGCTCACCTGCAAGCCTCGTGAGAACTTCCTGCAGTCTTCCTTCAAGGTTGCTACAAGCCTATATGGAGTTTTTTTTCTTCAGTTTCCCATGCAAAGACGTAACTGCGAGCCTGTCTGCAGGCCCAACTGAAGATTTCATCAATTCCTATACCTTATGCAGTAAGGACAGTCGTGTCTTTTTGCTTATGGTTGTCGGCCTTCAAAATGGTCACAACAACGACAGCTCACCAGATCTACCCCTTGGCAAGGGAAGCAGAAGAATTAGAAAAGAAAAGCAGATTAATATGGAAAAGGGTGGAGGGTTGATGGTTCTTTGTATTGAAGTCGTGACTGCAAGAAACGAGAGCGTTGAGAAATTGCAGAGGCATTGAAGGACCCTCCAACACCTTCCTTCTCAACTCGCTGGTGCTCTCCTTAGGCATCTACACAGCCACCACATCCTTTTCCCATCCATCCTTGAAGTTTTCCAGCTTATTGTCGAAATGTTTGACTTCAGAGGGCACAACAGCCAAAAAGAATAGGACCTGTCAAGATGCTCAAGTGTCATGGATGATGGCATTAAGTATTTATTGTCCATTTCAAGTTTGAAAAAGCTACGTGCGTTAAAAACAGGATCGACTGTTGATAGAGTGCTTTATGCCTCTTCCTTTGTAAATCTCCGTGTGTTGGATCTAGGAGGCATTCTTGTCACTGATAAGGCATTATCATCATTAAAGGTGTTGATACTGCTGTTGACCTCATTTTGAGGTAATTAATCTTTTCCATAGAATCCTAGGATCTAGCTCTAGGAGTTCCTATTGACCATATTAGAAAACTAGAATTAAGACTCCAACTTTTTTTAGAAATTCCAACCACTTCTTATTTCTCTTGTGGTGTCTCGCATTGATGATCTCAGAACTATCGTCCTATGGTCGAGTGGTAAAGGACTATCAAGTGGAGACTCAGGGAGAAGTTCCTAATAACATCTCAAGTCCTAGGAAAATCACTTCAGGACTTTATCATCACACATGCACACCAAATGCACAAAATTCATTAAGTTGCACAAAATCGGACTTAAATTGAGCTTAAAGGATGGGTGAAAATGCGAACTTCTCCGGACAACCTCCGACGACAAAATGGGCTGCGCCAACGCGTCCAGGACACTCATATTTTTATAATTTTGCATACGAGAAAATTGCACGCAAATCGATAAATTCGTCAAAGCGACCTCCGACGGTGAAACGGACCGCGCCAGCGCGTCCGGAACGTCAAAATTACCTAAAAAGGACATCAATTTTGTTATGTTTTGATACACGAATAAAAAGTATGAATCAAATTTTATTATTAAGAAATATTAAATATTTTATATATTTTATTACTTATAATATTAAATTCTAATCCTAAACCCTATTTTCTCTATTCCTGCACACTTAATCCTTCGTTCGACCCCGCGTCTTAGTTGAACGCTCGACTCGTCTCCCTTGTGTGCCCTAGCTCCCGTGGACGATTCACGCGATAATCTCTTCCCCCTTTCTCGACTCTTCCCCTTCTTCGCATGGCCGCTAGACTCTTTGGCTCTCCAATTGCAAGGGCCGAGCTGGCCGACCCTTCTCCTTCTCAAGGTTTTACCGTCTCCCTCTTTACTGTGGCGATTCTGTTCTCCTCGTTTGATTCGCCTACCAGTGAGGCTAGTAAGTGGTTGTCCCCCTCTCTTCTCTGCTTATAAAAAGAGTCTCTGGTGCACTGTTTTGGGTTGTTGAAATTTTTTTGAGAGAAAGGGAGGCTGTGGTTTTACTGTTTGAGGCTTTTAGGGAAGAAGGCTCTGCCCGAAATTCTTTCTAGGCTAATTTTTCGTGAGCTGGGATTGTGGAGCGTTCGAGGATTGCTGTTTTCTGGAGCTTTTAGGAAGAGAAGCCTTGCTGAAGTTATCTTTTTCGGCTAGGATCATGTGTGTTGGACGTTTGGGAGTTTGGTGCCTTTTTCTTTGTTTTTCTTTTAGGAAATATCAAATAAGGTATTTCTTTTATCTCTTCTATGTTCTGTCACCATGCTCGACATATGTTGGAAGTGCTAAAATAAAAAAATGCATGTATGAGGCTTTTGATTTGTTTTAACAACCATTTCACAAAGGCATTGATACCAAAAATTGGGCCTTTAATACTTTTGTTGAATCTAATTTAGACACTTTGTGTGGACAAGTTGAAATAACATTTTAAGGAAAGTATGTTTAGGTTTCTTCTCACATGTAAATCTTCTTCTTACACTTCTAATATATCTTTACCTATATGCTGGAAATTGTGGCTTTCTTTCTTTGCTTCTTGCTGAAGCAGTTTACTGTTAAAAGAAGGATGGTGGCTTATGTTTCTTTCTTGTTTAAAATACATGAAAAGATCATGGATATAAACTTTGGATTGATGCTTGCTCACTTAGAATCTATGCTGTAATCCATTTTAGTGTTGAAACAAGTTGGCTTTAGTGATGTATGCACACTTAAATGTTTCGTGTTATTTGATTCTATTTGAAACATACGTCGGCATTATATTTTGGAATATAAAGCTCCAAGAAGAAATATTTTTTGTTTTGCCTTTCTTGTGGGCTCGGTTTGCCCATATGCTGGATTTGGTTTGGCCCCTTTCCCGAGCTCTGTTTTGGCTTCTTCTAGGATGGATTTAACTAAAAGTTTTATATTATTTTTGACACATTTAGTTTTGTTGGATTATTTTGGATAATAGTTGAGGTATTAAGATACTATTAAAATCAAATTTAAGAAATGAAGATACTAAATTAGACATATTAAATAATTTGAGACTAAAATGACCACTTATAAAAAATCCATGACTATTTTGATATTTTTATCTTAAAATTATATAAATCATAGATAAATAATTTTTAAATTTCTTCTTAATGTTGCATCTTTTAGGTGACCCATGTATAATGTTATACATCTAAAAGACATTGAAATACAATATTATGCTCTGATGACAAATATGATGTAAAAATTTTAAGATTTATTTTTTTCTAAAGCAAATCAAAGCATATGATGCAAAAAACTATGCAATAAGGATATAAAATTTACAGAAAACAAAATATTAAGCCAAAATAACTATGGATATTCTTTGATGAAAATAAAACAATTAAAAAAATTAAT